ATGGAGTGGTGCCTGGCTGTCTCAGGAAACCTTCCTCCCAGTTCCTGTGATGCTGCCTCCCCGATTCTGGAGACAGACAGGGAGTGGGGAATAAAGCAGGGTGATGAAGACCTACAGGTCTGGTGCAGTACCCTCAGCACCTTCTCCTGGAGATACCTTGCTTGGTGGGCAGTCCCCAGGCCTCCTTGTGCTGTAATAGGAGCCTTCTGTTAGTATGATTCACACTCGCCACCCTTGCCCTTCCACACACCCCACTGCCAGCAGCAAGGTCAGCCTCTGAGCCCAGTCCCAGATGAGTGCTTGCAGAAAGGTTTCTACAGGAACCAGGAGCAGGAAAAACCTGCCCACCAAGTTCAGTGCTCTTATGTCAGGGACATGGAAGGGCTGGCAGCAGGCAGGGGAGTGATCTCCAGCAAGGCGGAGGCCAGCAGGCAATGACGTGGACAAAGTAAGGTGTTCCCCTCTGCTACACCTGTCCTGTGTCAAGGAGGGACTTTCAGTCTCGCATTCTCCTGCCCTGCTTCCAAAGCACTGTGGGTAATTCCCTTGTTATTGGGTGTTTTCTCATCTATGTGCCTAACACACTGGCCTGGCTCCTTCACAGCAGGTTGGGCTGCAGTGATTGTGCATGCAATGAAGGTTAATAATGACCGAGGAGGATCCTTACTCACAAGCTTGAGGCACTGAGCACAGATTCAGTGCACAGCATGGCAGGCATGCCATGTGGCTGAAACAGTGACTGTATTCCTAATAAAAATCGTTGGAAACAGAGTTAACTAGCGTGAGAGAAGACAGAGGAAAAGGATGTACTGCAGGCTCAGAAACAGAGCAGCTGTGGTCGCAGGGCAGTGACAAGCCTAGAAAAAAAAACAGCATCAAAATACATGCACAATGATTTTGAAAGGGGAGTAAGAATTGTCAGCAGATTTTCCTGCTTGGTGAGCATACTCTGTCCATTCCTGTCTGGAGGTGCTCATTTTGTAATTCTTGTTATGTCTTCAGCTAGTGAGGAAAAAGTTGGTGCTAAGAGAACATATAGGGCTAGAGTGATGGGAAGGTAGAAAAGCTTTCACAGAACTCTTGACAATTAGCCATTGTGTGAAGTATGTCACCTCTCAGAAACAAAAGCTGAACTTTTTCTTGTTTGTTTTGTTTTCTTTTTGCCCAGAGAGTTTGTGTGAGAAGATCAGGGTGTCTGCTCATCCACACCAGCCTTTCTCATGCAGTGAACTGTTTAAATCTGGGAAGAAGAGGCCTTATAATCTGTGTTCTCACAGATGCTTTTTATGCTTTTGCAGTGTTTTACAGCTGCTTATCTTGGAGTGCTGTAGCAATCCACTTCCAGGTGGCAAGTGCTCACTGGAAAGCTCACTGAGATACAAAGGCAATATAACCTTATACTATTGAGAACTGTAAAGAACTTGGACACAGCCTGATGAATGAATCCCTGGGGTTCCTTCTTTTAGTGGTTTGCAGTCATAAGTAGATTTACTGAAAAGAGGAAGCTGGAAAATCCATCCCAAATATGCAAATCTTAGTTTCTCCCAGGTTCTTTTCCCAAGTAAGTGCAAGTGACTGATATATCCCAGCACTGGCTTTATCTGCTTGATAGATATGGTTCTTGCTGTCTTCCATACAAAGTTACAAGGTTGATATTAAAGTTCAGAACACCTCTCTCTTATTACTGAACACAGTTGTCCTGGAAAAACCCTATAAAAATCTTCTGTGAACTGGTATCAGGAAAATAAGGAGAGGAACTATGTGAGCTGTTTCATTGTCTGAGCTATATCCCCATGTTTAGTTTAGAGGAGCCAGGTTCACTGCTCATTTCAGAAGTACTCTATTGCATGCTGTCCATATCCTAGGCCAGTTCATCACAGAAAATAATTGTCAGAAACTTTTCCACAGCCTTTTCCACTTTGCTTTTGTGATGCAACCTCTGAAATATTTTTCAGAGTTACTCCATCTAATGACACCTCCTTACGCCGTTTTCACCATTCCAGTCCCTTCTCCATGGACAGCGCATTCAGAGAATGATGGTCTGGTGTGGTGTGGTTTTTTTAGTGCTAATAATTAAATACAGGACTCGCAATATGTGATGGAAAAGGTGATGACAGTTGACTTGATTTTTGACAAGTCTTCAGCAATGCTGTCACTGTCACAAGGAATTTGGTAAATGACAGTGTGCTCTTTCTAGTTGATGGGTAGGTATGAAAACCAGGGGAAATTCCAGTCTCTGGAATTTAGTTTTCCTCTGGGGAAGTTGTGTGAAGGTTCTGTTTGTCCCCCACCACATTTTCAGATGCTAACTGAATTCTCTCGTTGCATTTTTTTTTTATATACATTTTTTATAATAGGATAGTGTCCTCTCACCTCTGAGAACAACATTTCTGGACCTGCTGACAGCCTCTGCGACTCAGCCTTACCTAACGCCATGTCAGGTGAGCAGATAAAAATGGACATGGTACCTTCTTGTTTGGTTGCATGTTCTTACTTCAGCTGCAGCTTAGGAGAAGAAAGTTGCTGTTTCCAAGAGCCATTATTTACATGAACCTGCTGTCTGCTCAAACTGAGGGAGAAGAGACTTCTGCAGTCTTTGTGACCCAGCTGCCTTTTCACTCAGGGTGAACTCAGTTCCATTGTTTACCCTGTGCTGAAGCCTGCTGAAGCTGCTTCAGCCGTTGAACACAGAGGAAGAAGGAGGTTGAAATGTAGCCTGCCTTCCCCATTTTTCATAAGATTTGCTTGGTTCTGTTCTCTCAAGACTTGCACCAAAATAGGTGATTTGCTTATGATCTGAGAGAATTTTGTTGTTAAATGGTAGCTCTAGTCCAGGCAGAGCTACAAAATCTCCTGCCTGTCCCACCCCGTATTTTCATGTACACCTTCCTTCCCAGTCCAGCTGGTAATTTCAGGGCATATAACCCTGAGGGAGACCATACTGCAGAGCCAAGTAAAACTTGTTGTCACTGATCTGTGCAGCAGAAGGCCTGGATGTGCTTAACTGCTTAAATTGCAAAACGTGACATCTGCTATTGTTGCAAAGGAAGCTGTTCAGTGGGACGCTACCCGAGACTGGGAAGGTGCTTCCCTTGAACACAAAGGACCATGACAATAAACTTACTTTCACTGCTGTAGCTTGTTATGTATGATCTGACAACCTTGCAGGGCTGGGGAAGAAGTGTCCCAGCCCTTCTGCAGCAAAGGGAGCATCTTGCTGAGGCCTCTGATTTCCCATTTTGTTGCCTGGGTGGCAAAGTTTCAGGGAACCCTGGACTGCTGCTGGTGCTGGGCTCAGTGACTCTGTAGGAGGGATTTATCTCCTCATCATCATTTTTTGTAATGGGTCCTTTAGCTTGGCACTGACCACACAGCTTTTCCAAGTAGAAGAAAGATCACATGATGCCATGGAACTATTTCTCTTCCCTAAAAGTTTCTTTCTTAGAAGGAGCTCCATTTGATCTTTCTGCTTCTTTTGCTTGATGATAAAGGACAAAACTATCTGAAATTACTTCCTTCCCTCATGAAGTGGGAGCTGTCTCAATGTCTAGAGTAGCAGTAGTGACAAACACAGAGTCCTTTTTTTACTGGAACAGTCTGTATCAAGTGTGCATTTTCCAAGTTTGTCCTTCCAAGTGTTCATTGCTGTATGTTGCTGATCTTTCTGTTTAGGGCACCACACTCCCTCTGCTGGGGGTCCCTTCTCAGCACTCACTCCCAGCATTTGGCCTCAGGACATCCTCGCAAAATACACACAGGTACAGTGTGGGGCAGGGAGGGGGTGTTCTCTGGCTCTGCACAGAAGTGATTTCTGGTGATCTCTGAAAGCCACAGGGAAAAGAAGGGAGAGATGCCCTCTTCCTCCAGTGGTTTGGTTGTGGATGCTTGTTTGTGACTTAAACTTCGTGAGTTTTGTGGCTGCGTCCTGGCTCTTGCAAGAGGATCTTGCAGAGCACAAAGAAACCTGAGTGAGTTATTGCCCTGCTGTTTTGCAACTATTGCTCCACTATAAAAATGTTGACACCCTCAGGGAGCCTCTGTCACCATCAAGCTACTCTGGATGGCTTGTGCATGGCAGGAAATGTTAGCCTCAAGACTTGTCACCAGGGGTGCAGAGCTGGAAGGAAGGAAACAGACGCAGAATTTTGTAATTTACCCACAGTGTTTGCTGAAGGCAGCTGAGCCCAGAGAAGCAGGTTGAAACTTAATGTACAGCTATGCTAGAAACATGTTTCTTGGGCGCTGCCTGGGTGCAGTGCTTGCAAGACCCCACAGGCAGGGCAGGTGGGCTTGCAGGAAAGGGGAGGTATTTGTAGGCTTGCACTCCTTAAAAAAACCCTGTTTATAACCTCCAGTGTGTACATCTCAATACAACCACAAGCACAGGTGAGGAAAGTTGAGATCTGGGTCATGGACCTTAATTTCCTTTGGCCTGTAACTTGGGTTTGCTTCATAGGCACAAATCCCAGTTTTGCCTGCTATCTTTCAGAGAAATCTGAAAGCAACAGGCAGGAAATGGAGCATTGCAGGGAGCTGTATTTGCAGTGTCTGTGCAGAGGTAACAGAAGCCTGATGTGTATTAGAGATGCAGACAGTAGACACCACTTCAGCTGGTGTGTGTGGTTTCCTTAGTCCATGAGGAGGGCTGGGTGCCCCTCTGAGTGAGAAGTTCTGATCTTGATGTAATGCTGTGCTTGAGCCTTGCTGGAAAAAGGATTGCTGGGAAGATCTGTTCAGGTGTGAAGGCACAACTTCATGGGAATAGAAGTCTAATGGGAATAGTGTGCAACACCTCCCCAGCTGGGAATTGTGGAGAGAGGCATTGAAAACAAACGGTTGAGTCTAGTTGATCAGAGGGCACAGTGCAGACAGTGGTGGGACAGGGAAACGTCCACATGTCTCTGTTCAATTGTTCGGTGCTGAACTGTTGAAAGTGTCTGTTCTCCTTCCTCACATCTCCCAGAAAGAAGAATCCATTGAGCAGCCAGAGTTCCACTACGATGAGTTTGGTTTTCGAGTTGACAAGGAAGGTAAAGACAGTTCCATCCCTCTCCTTCCCTTGTGTCTTGCATCCAGCCCTTCCCATGTTTCCAAGTATGGCAGGGTGACTTTGCAGCCATTCTGTGTTAGATCTTGTCTACCCACTTGTTGTCCTCTTTCTGTATCCTCCCATTGTCATCAAGTGCATTAGACCGACTGGCCTTTTGGGAGTCTGGAGTATAGACTGTGCAGCAGAGTAATTTCCATCCCCTTATGCCTGTGGCATGGGTAAGAGAGAGAAAAGTTAAGAAGTTACCATTTCCATTAGCAGATGCATGCTGGGTGGGGAAGGGCAACTTTCCCAGCTCACCGTGGGGCCTCTACCTTATTCAGTAGCACTGATAGCAGGCACAGTGAGATGTGCTGTCTGCTGAAAAACTCGCAGCCGAGACAAGTGGCAGCAGTATGTGTTCTACCCATCCCAGAACCTTGGCAAAGTGTGGGGCAAACTGTAGGGCCAGAACCTACATCCTAGTTTTTCTGCAAGATACAGTGGCAGACAAACAGATAGAAGGAGGTGTGGAGAGCTGTTGCAGCTAGGCATTGAAATACAACAGCTGGCTGCCTTTGCAAAGAGGAAGAAGTGGGGGGTATAGGAATTTCTTTGTGCGCTCTGAGAGGATGTTTTCAGGGCTCAAGACATAGAGTGCAAGGGCAGGAGTTGTTTGCCTATGTGCCCTGAAGCACCTTGGGTCATAGAGAATCCTCTCTGAAGCAATGACCTGGAGATGAGGACAGGACACAGTGTTTTTCCTCAGCCAGAACATTTGATAGACATGTGCATTATAAAATCAGCAGAAAGATTTTTACTATATTGGTGGGATGTGTTAGATGATGAATGACAGAGTCCCTTACATCAAACGTGTGCTTGTACTGAAGTATCTATTTTAGATAGCCAGCCTCAGGTTAAGGTGCTTTCTCATTTTGAATGTGGAAGTGTCCTTATTAAAGCCTTCTTGATGGTTAAATATCCCCAAAGTTAACATTTTGCACCTCATTACTTGCATGAGCATATAGCTTCTGCTTGCCACGTCCTGAGGCTTGCTATGCTTTTGTCAGCCTGATTTACAGATCCATGCAAAACCCAGCAGGATGGCTGCTGCAGGGATCTTGTTTAATTCCAGCCACCCTCTGCCCTAAATCATGAGTAAGTAGAGACTAAAAGCCTGCTGACAACTTCTTAGCTCTCAAGGCCCCAGTGCCTTTTGCTTATGACCATAAAATTCACTGCATGCCAAAGACAGTTAGAAACCAAGCTTTGCCTTTACATTCTCTGGCTGGAAGCTGTGAATGTTTTTAATGTGCTTGCTTCAGATGGCCTTCCTACTTCCCACCCTTCCCTGTGTTTTTTCTCTCTCCTCTTCCCTTTCTCACTTGTCTCCATTTCATTCTCCTCCTTTTGCTGAGACAGATGGTGCTGAGCCAAACTCCAGCAAGCTTCTGGGGGTCCCACTGACAGAGGAGCCACAGCAGAGGCTGAAGTGGCAGGCTCATCTGGAATTCACACACAACCACGACGTGGGTGACCTCACCTGGGACAAAATTGAGGTCACCCTACCACATTCAGACAAGCTACGCTCGCTGGTGCTAGCTGGCATCCCGCACAGCATGAGGCCGCAGGTGAGAGTGCTGCCTGTTCTGGGGAGGCTCTCCTAACTGGAGTAAGAGACAGTAGAGTGAGACTACTTTCTCTTGGTTGAGAAGGTGCCAAATTATGGCTTTCTGTGGTGGTTTTAGTGACTCTTTTCTCTCCACCCTGTCCCCGCAGCTGTGGATGCGCCTGTCCGGGGCCTTGCAAAAGAAGAGGAATTCAGAGATGTCGTATCGGGATATCGTGAAAAACAGCTCTAATGATGAAACCATTGCTGCCAAACAGGTAGGAGGTACTGCCTAGTGCTGACTGGGCACGAGGGAGTGGGGAGAAGGGCAAGATTTACTGCATGAGGAGGAAGGAGTGTCTGCCTAACACCTGCAGGAAGACAGTTGAGAAGGCATGTGTTGTTGAATCCTTCTAAAGCTTAATCCTGTTGGGCATATTTCTCTTTTGTTGGAATAGCAACTGTGCAGCTCCCCTCCTTCCTAGCACAGCAGGGAAGAGGTTGGACCTGTGCTACCTGCAGGCTAGAAAGCAGTGCTGCCATTTCATCTTGGCAAACATTCTGATACATACTGTGACAAGTGAAGGGTCAAAGGCTGATGGATGCACCTCTGGTGAGGTGGTAGCAGCTGCTTCCAGAGACTGTCTTTGTTTCCTCAAATACAAAGTCTCTTACCACCAGCAAAACTGCTACAGGGAGTTTTCCCTCTTCCTCTCACCTTTTGTGGGAGGACACAAAGGCCATGGGAAAAGAAAGAGAACTCTGCACGTGTTCACCTCTCACTAAGAAGCCGAGTTCAAAATGGCTGAAAGGAGGGACAACTGCCCAGTGGAGATCTGTGGGCTGTTCACCTCCAAGTCTCCTGTTACCAATGTGGCCAGATTGTTGGTTTCTTCCTGGGATATGTTTGTTGGGATGCCATTCTTGAAATGCAAGCAGATGAAATTCCCAACTAGTATGCCTGCTATTCTCAGTGATGAAGCTTGGGGCTGAATTTAGGCAAGCATTTCCTGGGAGACACCAAGTCACCATCTGCACTGGCATTTTCCCACATGTCAGTGCAGGCTGTTAAACTGACCCCAGGGACTAGGACAGGGCCATCTTCTTTGGTGCTAAGGACTTAGGCAGGACTGCGGGGAAGCAGAGTTCCCTGAGGCCATGGGGAAGTGCAGAGAGAAGGCAGTTGTTCAGATGCACTGGCTGACCCTGCTGTTGCTTGTGGCTGTCTTGCAGATTGAAAAGGACTTGCTCCGCACGATGCCCAGCAACGCCTGCTTCTCCAACATGAACAGTATCGGGGTGCCACGGCTACGCAGGATCCTACGGGGACTTGCCTGGCTCTACCCAGAGATTGGATATTGCCAAGGCACTGGCATGGTAACCTGCTTCAGAGTGTCTTTGCCATAGGGGTTGTTTTGCCTGTGGTGGCTGTGCTGGGGCAAGTGACTTGAGGCAGTGCTGCCAGACACTGTGCCCTCCAGATGAGCTGAAAGGAAATCTGTTCCCCATGGAACGTTTTTCCTAGGGAAGGGAGAGCAGAGTAGCACCATGCATCCAAAGTTGTGGAAGAATTTGGTCCATCTGTTGGGGAGGGACAGGCATTACACTGAGGAGAAATCCCTTTTGGGGGAAGACTGCAGGAGAGCCACGGCAGAGGAAGGAAGAAGCTGATCACCTAGACACTGGCCTACCTCTCCATGTCAGGAAGTGGGGAAAGTGTTCTGTGCCTGCTATGACATGCAGTTGTTCTTTCTTCAAAATCCTAGGTGGCTGCTTCTCTGCTGCTCTTCTTGGAAGAGGAAGATGCCTTCTGGATGATGTGTGCAATTATTGAGGAACTAGTTCCTGCCTCCTACTTCAGCACCACCTTGATGGGTGTGCAGACAGACCAGCGGGTCCTGCGACAGCTCATTGTGCAGTACTTGCCTCGCCTGGACAAGTTGCTCCAAGAGCATGACATTGGTAAAAGTGTGCCCTAGAAACCATAGCTCTTCTTGCAAGGGTGACATGCAGACAAAGATTATTGTTCTCGTTTCAAACAAAGAGAGCAGCAGGGCTAGGAGCAAACCTCCTGCCCCTGGAGGCAGTCCATGGTCATCTTGAAGCTGGAAGGACAGCACTTAGGAGAGTCCATCTCCACTGGCTGGCTGACTTCTACAGTGACTCTTTTCCATGTCTCTATTCACAGAGCTCTCCTTGATCACCTTGCACTGGTTCCTCACCTCTTTTGCCAGTGTTGTCCACATCAAGCTGCTGCTGCGTATTTGGGACCTCTTCTTCTACCAGGGCTCTTTGGTGCTGTTCCAGCTCACTTTGGGCATGCTCAGTTTGAAGGTAATTGCCACCTCCCCTTCCTCTTTTATTACAGCACATCAGTGCCTCATTCTGAGTTTTAGGGGCAAGAAGGCTTTTTATTATCAACTTCCTCTTTGTGGGTCAGGAGTGTGGTAGGGAAGATGACTTCCTGCCTTTTTCAGTACTGCAGGCTGTGAAGACTTCCCCAGGCACTTTGTAAGAATCAGGGATTGCTGTTTCCCCTGCCTGCCTCATTTTCTCCTCCTAATTAAACCTCATCAGCTGTCCCCTTCTATTAACTCTAGATGCCACCCTGAGGGACCCACCTTACCTAAAGCAAGATACCTCTTGATTTTGCACCATCTATGAGCAGAGATATAAGGCTGAGGTTGTGGTCGTCTGGGGAGCCTTTGATGGCACTGTTGAATGCTCCAAGAGACACCAACGTGCTGACTACATTTCATTTGGCTGACATATTTAGCCAGCCTGATCTTTTCCTTATTAGATGAAAAATAACTCTGTAGTTCAGCTTGCTGTGTGAAGGGTAAAGATGAGCCTGCTGGGAGTAAGGGGAAGGTGGAGCACAGTTTGACATGGTAGGCACTCTGTAGTGTGTGAAACTGAGC